CCCCCACCTCGTCTGGCTCCTTTTATCAACAGTGTTTTCGCAAAATAGTCCTGTAGCATCTTCTCCTGTGCATACACATCCAACATAAAAAAAAACAGCTGAGTTTTTTTTTAAGATCCCAGTCTCACTGTGTCAGATGTTGTCTTTTGTTGCTACAAGGAAGAAAGAAAAACCTGCTGACATCAACAAGCTAAGAATCAAAATGAATACAAAGCTCAGAGGATCAAAAAGCTTTCCAGAACTCAAACTTTTCAACAGTTTTAAAACTTGTTGGTGAATCAGGCTTCAGAACAGAAGGATCCCGCTCCCTTACCAAACCCCAATAACAAAGAACAAAATGTTCTCAAGCTGAGATTTTCAGATACTAAAAGATGAGCTATAGTCACTTTTTAACCAATTTCTCTCCACTCTTGTCCAGATTGTAAATGCACGTTTAAAAATAATAAATCACAGTCTTCTTAATGCGTCACAAAACAGATGGACACAACCCTCAATTTTAAAAGTGTGTGAACATCGCCTGCTGTGACATAATAACCGACACTGGCTTATATAGACACAAACAAATGCATTTTGTAAAATGCAATGTGAAGTGTAGGAGCATCGAGACAGATTGCAACTGCAAGATGAAGCCGATACGGGAATCACTGTTGGCATGAATGTGCAGGGACAGATATCGAATGAGACAGTAAAAAAAGAAGCWAAGGGAAATCCATCTTTATGAATAACTTCTATGTCAGACTGAAGGTAAGCGAACATGGATCACACACTCTCACAGGGAGTTTCACACTTTCTTTTTCAAAAGCTAGTAACAATGTTTATCTGAATATATCRCTAACATTTAATTTTAACTGCATGGATTTCAACTGTGTTCGCTGTCAATTGTGTTTATGTATCTCATGAGCAGCTCTGTCCCGAACATCGACGGCGAGCCCCCATCTCAGCACACGGTTCACCGATCACTCCCGGATTCACTCACGGGCGCCACAGAGCAGCTTTGTTCATCCACAGGTGGGGGTGGGGACACCTCAACATCCCYCCCCCCCCTCAAACTGCATCACAGTTCTCGGCGTGTGCACGACGTGCGTATGTCATTGGTTTTAAGAGAACAGTGCTTTAGCTCACTGGATTTAATTTAAGAACAAGCACTATAGGCAGGTAGCGACAGGCACCGAGTCCCGCCCAGGGCATTGAACACCTAACCTTACTCAGGCTTGATGGGCACACCTACATTCCAAACGCCTGACTGACCGACTCTGCAGTCTAAAATATAGACAAATACTGCTTGACACTCCAGTAGAAGCAAAAAGTATCCTTGGTAACGCAGCATATGAGAATACAAATAGAGCGAAGTTCAAAAAGGTCAAACTCGGGGCACTGTGCATGCTAAAATAAAATGCAAACATCTATAGATATTTGCTGCTTAAATCTTTTATTTGATTTATGTGAATACAGGATATTTGAAACCTGTGATCTAGAGAAGTCATTATCGAGTTGTCAAAGTAAACTAATTAGTTTTTTGCAATGAAGTGTGAAAGCTAGAGCTGGATGTACAAAAAGCAGCAAATCTCAGCAGCCATTAATTCAGATAGTTACAAATATTTGCCTCTCTCTGTCAGCTTTTCCAGGCAACTGGACAAACACACTACACTGTCAGCGCTAACCTTTAAACACAGCGCTTAAGTCGTGTTCTCTTCTCCTCATCATTACAGCATGTAAGCCTTCCTGATACAGCTCTGCAAGCCTGCCAAACGCATCCTCATTAATGCTACTAAATGCTTTCAAGTGACTTCTTGGAGCTGCGTTTCSGAATGAGTGTTATCAACACAGTGTGTTACACCACACGGCTACCCCCATTGTGAAACAAGCCTGTTTAATGTGCTCTTATCAGTTGGTGTGGATTTCATTTTACAGCACTTACCTACCCATTTACTGAACATCAACTAAAACTTATCAGAGGTAAAGTGATTGCAGTGTAATAAGCAGCAGGTCTGACAATGAAAAACACGAGACACAGAGTACCCAAAATAGAATTCCACAGGACTTTCTGGCAGACGTTTTTGAACCCCATCCAAACAATTCCCCACATGTTTCTCATTTACCCGTCCTCCTTTAAAATAAAAAAAGGAACTCTCCTCATTGCTTTTTTGCAAGCACTAACTTTTTGTAGCGTAAACGGTGAGCTGTGAAGAGAGAACAACGATGAAAAAGACATTCAGCAACACTGCAGGTCTTACCTTGACCTTTGTGGGACTCAGTGCCTGCCAGAGTCTCTATGGTGATTGGCTCTGTCTTCTTCTCTCCAGGCTCTTTGTTTTCAGGGAGCTTAGATTCACAGTCTTGTGGCTGCTCTTTTCTCCTGAAACGGCTAGCTATGTATTGCCATAAGCTTTGTGCTTCCCGAACTGGTTTGGATGCAAGTTTTGGTGGATTTAGGGGTACCTCTAATACATTATCCTTTCCTCTGCTGTGGCATTGAATGTACTGCATCCCTCCATCATCTGTGCGCTCAGCGGAAGCCGGAAGCAATCCTCCTGTGAGATACGAAAAAGGATGTGGAGGCAATGTTGTCTCTTCAATAGAGTTTTTAATTTGACAGTCCTCCTTCAACTCCCCCTCAGGCCCTATATTAATTTTGTCATGGGTCCGAGCCCGTTTGAGTCGCAAACTAAAGCTCCTTTTTAAAGAGTTAAAGGTACTTTTAGAAGAATCTGTTTTGATGGGTTTGTGGGATGAATTAGCATCTTGGTCTGTTTCCTTGTCCTTGCTTCTGTCCTGAGGTGTTTTGCCAAAAAGTTTCCAGCGAAAACTCCCTTTGAAAAATCCTCCATTGCCAAAGTGACCAGAGACCATCTTCCTCTCAATCTCCTCATCAGATCCTATTTTTCTCAGTTCCAGTACTGTCATACTGACAGGTCTGGTCTTCCAGTTCCTCTGGCGGCCTCGGATAATCACATCAGGTGTTGTTGACTGTTGAGCCACAGAACTGAGGCCATCCACTGCCCTCAACTCATCTTTCCAACTCCTGTGCTGTTGATTGTTTTCTGAAACATCCACTCTTTTAAAGAGTTGCTGGGCCAGAGACTCTGATGTGACCGAGCCTGGCAGCACGCAAACGCTCCCTGGCCTCGGCAGCCGTCGTTCTTGCTCTGGCTGAGAAGCTCTTTGCTGCTCGACTGGGCCACCATACATACTTATTGTTCTCCTCCCGAGCGCAGCTTTATCCCGATGAGGCCTTCGTAACATGGCCCGTGGCAGAGAGCTGTGCTCCGTAACGGCGGCATGACCCCGGAGGACAGGCCCCTCGCCGCAAACCGTCACGGAGCATGACGTTGACCTCTGTTGCTTAAGGGTGTCTGTCCGAGCTGTTAGCTCTGCCGTGTCTCTGCGGTGTTGTGACGAGTTCTTGAAGCGTTGCTTCAAAAACCTGTCTGTCCTCATTCTTCCCTTCACCTCTTCCTTGCTCTCCTCCAGAACAACCTCCTCTCTTCTTTGCCTCTCGGCTCTGCTCGTGCGGCTTAAGGAGGGCCACCTGTCGAGCTCCTGTCGTGCCCTGCCCAGCTTCGGGCTGTTCTCCATTGGCACCAGATCCATTACCTCTCCTTCTGACTGGCAATTCTCCACCAGGTTGTGAGTGGCACGGCCCATTTTTGGCTCTGACACAGCGGCATCTCTTTGAGTTTCTTTCAGGATTACAGAGATGTGGTAGGCAGTTATCCCCTGCTGCAGTTGCCCAGTAGTGGTACTCTTTGTAGTCCCATTCACTGTCCCACTGCTAAGGAAAAGCATCACACTTGACTCAAATGGATCCCCGCACAGTTCCTCATTCACTCACTAAAACAAGCATGTAACACAGGCCATTCTCTGAATGGGGAGCCGAGAGTCAGCTCATAAAGTCCTTCATTTGAAGCCTAAATTCCTATGCCAGGCATAATCCTTCACCTTTGACACAAGAAAAAAAACACTTCAAACAAGTTATTGCAAAGCCTTGGTACCACCTGCATCCTCAGGCTCGTTTACTCAGCAGACTCACCCATGCATTTCGTTTATAGCCGTTTTTCTCTCCACATTAAACTTGTCAACAGTTCTTGTCCCATGCAGGAAAAACATTCCTCCCAAAATTGGTTCCACATTTAGCAAAAAAAATCTAATAGCTGAAACTAATTAAAAAGCAACAAAAAAACCCCCCTCAAGTCCTTATCTTGGTTCCTTTCTCCTTCTGTTCGGCCAAGTTCGGGACTGTGAGCAGTGCTTGCTGTTTGTGGTACAGACAAACCCCTTAATCTCTGAGCTCTTGCCATGTAGAGCATGACGGAGTGTGTCTCTGTTTGAACTTTCAGCTGCCTTCCAACCCCTGGGATACACAGAAAACAAGGAGTGGATCTCGTGGGAATTAAACACACCCATATGTTTTCTCCGGTGCTGGCGAAACACCTCCCCCAGAGATTTACACAGACAGACGTGAGCGTCAGAATGAAAGAAGTATGAGTTGATCACGCACAGACAGCAATCTATAACAAACAGCCATGAATGGCCACTTTGTATTCTTCTTATCACTGGCAAAACACAAAAAGGAATGTCTTTACTCTTGTAGTAGAAGAGGAGGGAATAGAGTAGAACAGATCAACAAAAACATTGTTGATTCTTTACATTTATCCATGTATTCATATTTCTCTTAAAGAGTCTATAGATAGCCATGTTTAGGCTGTGCATTGTTAATGCCAATCATTTGCGCGTGGCACAATTTCTCTGTTTAAAACTAAACACTTCTCATTTCAAACTCTATGAGAACAACAAATCTGAATAGGTAATGTGGACTAACCACATAACCACACACCGTGCTTCAAGTGCCTCCTACTGCAGCCTACGCTCAGTGGGAGAGCTTAAGCTTAATTCCAAGATTGGATGACAGCTATTTATGGTGGGGAAATTGTATTCTTTTTAAGACACCGATGGTTACTGAGCAAAAAAGTGGTTCACATGACATTATGTAAAATGTCATTTTCCAACTGCAAAAAACACTGCATCCAGTTTTACTGAGTGAGATATTTGTGCACTGAACAATCTGCTGGAATTAATTTATTACCAAGCATTTCATCTAACAATCTTTTTTTTATCAATCTTTTCTGTGTTCTACCCCCAAAGTAGCAATGTCTGATAGCCATGGTTGCAAGTAACGGCTATTTGTGAGGATCACCTGAATCAAGATTTGACCTATACAGCTCTGCAGCACTTAGTGTGGTTAGGGCTGGAACACTGCCCCTTTGTGGTCAATTAAAGAACAACTCTACTAACACAGGAAGCGTGAGGAAATGTCCACAAAAGGTATACTTTTGTCAAACAGGCAACCATTAACAACAGGGTAGTTAAAATAAGGAAAAATGTTATTTCATCCCAAGATGGAAACAAAACTCTACTGAGACAGTACTCTATAAAGATGGATAATAAATTCATATATAGAGTGTGGTGGTCACCTCGAGGTGGAATGGACCATTCCACCTGTCTTTGACCTTGCTCACAGAAGGCCTCCTTTAAAGAGACAGAACTCTGTTTGAGTTAAAGTCATAACATGTTTTCTTAAACAGCAAAGAGACATTATCTTATTATTAATCTGATAATAAACAGAATAATTTTCTTTTACTCATAATTTTCTCAATGTGTAAAAAAGAAAACACAAAAAGAATGTTATTAAAATGTTTTATTGTGCTTTGATGTAAATCAACTTGAACTTTAACTGTGAAACCACAATAATTGATTATAGATTTTAAAGTTTAAATATTTTACTTAACTAAACTTTGCATTATGGTTAAGCTTTATTTTGAAACATTTTATTATTATTTTTATCTGAAACATTATAACGAATGTTTGAATGAATGCATTTTTGTATGAAGATATTACCGAAAATAAAGTGATCCTTGCTAAAATAATTCCTTATAACCTCGTTATAAGAAGTGTGGGGTGAACACTACAAGAGTTAAAACACTTTTAAAATCCTATTTACTATAAAGGAAAACCATAACCCAGATGGACAGATCTGAGTCCATTCCGAGGCATCAGAATGAGTAAGCTACACACACTAAAAATTAAGATATGAGTAATCCTTGAACAAGGAAACTCAAAGTCATAGTTCAGTTGTAGCAGTGTCTTTATCAGAAGTTGATTTAATAAGGATTTTCATTTCAAAACAACTCTCTAAAGCCACCTAGCTGCAAGAATGATCATTTCCTCAGCTCAGTCTTCCTCCTTTCATGACATCTTTATGAAAATAACTTCAGCTGAGTTGGAATGCAAAGCATCAGAAACGTGTTCGGAATTTTCCAGGAAGCCTTTCAGCGCACGCACAGTCGCACACATGCAAGAACGTCTTTGTACTGAGAGAGTATAGTCGTGAACTCAGATCTCTGGTTGGCCTGACAGCTCTCTGTGCCGGTTTTTACCTGTGTCTAGGAAGCAGGGGTTTGGAGTGAACTGGGTCTCATCATGGAGCAAACCTTCCTTTTCGCTCCACTGGACCGAAAGGTGTCGAGCTCGCCTGCGACTCCCAAAGCAGAGCAGCATGGTCAGCTAGGATCTCAAAAATAGTTTTTTTTTCCAAAGAAAACTCAAAATATAGCCACCGCTTTCATTCTTCTTTTCTTAGGTTACAGCATTTTTCCCCCCTCTTCTCGGTTATGCAGTGAGAATCTCCCTGCAGCTCAAATCTCAGCTCCATCGTGTTAGTCCTTTGTTGTTTTTGTTCAGCTTACCATAACATAAAAAAAGCTTCTTGCCATCTGCATCATGCTGCGGTCATGATGCGGCTTCCATATTAAAGTGGTTACCAGCAGAGGCCAGGGCGGTTACTGGACAGACGGAGGAAGTGACCCAGAGAAGTCATGGACTGAGGCTTGCTGAGCAGTTTTTTTTTTTCTTTTATTGTAATTTGGGATGCAGGTATTAGTTTGCAGCAAGAAGCCCCAGATTGAATTATGGTTAATCCACTATCCTGTTGTTTTTTTTTTATTGTTGTAGTCCTGTCCAGAGGAAGTCTGCTCTGGCTTAGTCCACAGATTTCAAACTGCTGACTGGGTTACAAAGCTTATTTTTTCTTCATCGTCTTCTTACCCCACAGCTAAAAGCTTCTTCTCTCTTGTAGTTCAAGCTTGATGACTGTTGTGAGAACGCCTTAAGAAAAAGTGGATGGGCATGTTTTGAGATTCCTGAAAGGTCCCTCATCTTTGTGTGCACACCTGTCGGAACACAACGTGTGTGTTGCTCATTTATCTCAGCTGTCAGTTTGAAACAAAAAAAGGAATTTATGGTTGTTTAGACAACATAGCTTCCACTTGACATTTTTCTTGTTCTCTTCCTTTAAAGCTAAAAAAATGAAAACCGCTTTGAAAAATATTTTGTGTGCTATGCTCCCAATGTCACCTCTATAACCAATACTTTTGTAAAAAAAAAAAAAACAATACAGATAGAAAAAAAGGTAGGATAATGGATTTTGTTCTGGTTTTGCTGACAAACCAACAAAATTAACTCCCTCAAATAAAGTCAAACTTTTAAACAAAGATCCTGGACCAGAAAAACAAAGAACCATGTTTGTCTGCAAAACAGTCTATTGGTAGCAATATGGTTTGGGCTTGTTTAAATTTCTGCATCTTGACCAGAATCAGAACAACAAATACTGAAT